TGAAAGAACATTTAAATGTTTACGAAAATTTCGACTCGTGGCAAAATAGCTGGCAAGAAAAGCGACCCAGAGTGTTATTTGCCCTCTCGCCATAAACAAAAACGTTCCTATCGGCATGAAAAGGAAGTTACCATAAGAAACTTTAAGTTGTCCGATACATTTGCTGTTAATACTGCTATAGGCTTGTTGAACAAATATGGTAAAAGGTGATAAGGTTTCGCTGCATATAAATGGACCTGGTTTCCGCTCTTTTCAATTCCAGCTACTAATATGTTCTCTCCAGGACAAAACTGCGACCGTTTACATTTTTGCTTCCGCTTGTTCAGGAAGAGGACATACAGATAACGGCGCACTGCACTTAGCGCAAAAACGTTATTTGCTTTTAACATCTGGGCATTTTAGTGAACTTTCACACCGTTCCAGGGAAGTTTTAAAGGTTAATTCACAAACCTTCGGTCAATTCTTAAAAATTCAATTGACTTTGTTAAAATGTACGGTGCTCTGCGCTAAAGTCCTTATATCAGCCTTACAGCGAAATACCGCGCATACGTTGTTTTATATGGAGTTTTCCCGATATTTTGAACAGACTATCGTGAAATTGAAGCAGGTGTGCAAGGCAGGATTTATTGGTACCAGCAAGATGCACGACGGCTAATAAGCTGCGGCCTGTCGCTTCGTAACATAAACAATGAGTAGAAAGAATACAGCAGTTTGAATTCGTGCAGAAAATCCATGCAGAAATAGCAGGGTCATGGTTTTGGGTGATGCCGGCAAATCAGTAAAATCAGCAATTTAAACACAATGTGGAAAGAGTAGTGGGAAAAACGCTAACGAGCAAAACGAGAGAGGAATGTAAAAAACATGGAGCCGGAGGTTAGCATGGCAAAATTAGGCTGACCACATGCCCTAGCTGTTTAAGTATATCTGGTTTCACCTGCCGTATATAGGCCGACTCCAGGTAACGCAATGTCTGAGTTGTTCGCGCCGAACAGAATGCCCTCATCTTTCAGCAGGAAGCCCTTCCTAGGTAACGAGGCGTCACCTGTATGCTGCTCCCCTTTCCATTTCGACTCGATGATGCACTAAACTACTTTTGCCTACTAAGGTTTTTGAATTGCGCGAGAAAAGCCCTTTCAAAAAGACCAAAGGGTCAACTTCTAGTCTTTATTTTCATAGTTAAAATGAGGTCTTATATTCTTCTAGATTTCATTGGGCCATTCAGAACATTTGTTAGTCTAAGATCAAAAAGTGGAAGCGGTACCTCGAAATATGCATTTATTGATGTGGAAACAACAAGGAATTATAATGTTGTTCTTAAATTTTTCACTGCTCAACAAATTATTTCCTGTTCATTATGTTATGTAGAGGGGCGCCCGCCGATCGCTCCACGGAACTCACTCGTCCTGTTGTGCCCTGCGGCTTTCTCTCTCGGGCCTGCTTATATTACGCTCCGCTGCGCAACTGCTGGCGAGCCTCGAGAGAGAGAGTTCCTAAGTACATCGGGAAGAGTGAGCTTCGTAGCACGATCTTTGAGAGCCCCTCTACCATCGCATATAATCGATCGGAACCGAGAGGACAGCCAGCCCGTGGCCCAGGGCTTAGGGTGTTGGACTTCTTACCAATGGGTCGCGGGGTCGAGCCCCAGTGGGTTGAATATGGCTGGCAGGCGACAGTTAAAAAGCCGGAAACGGCCATTTCAGTCTTCGTTTTCTTTGTCGGCAATGCTAGTCTGCAAATAAATAAGTCACTTATTACGGGCTGAGATCTAGTAACCTTTCTCAGATTTGATAAATAGAAGACTCCTCTGACTCATGCAGTCAATTTCTCTGAATCCTTCAGCTCATCTATATATTCAATCAGAAATGTTCGCGCGCCGACCTATTAGGCTCTTAAAGCAAACAAGCTCCGTATTGGTGACAAAGGTTGAGAACAGGGGACGACTTACTGGACCGAATTCGTCCAAGGTATGATAACGGAGAGGAAGGACGACATAGAATGAGGGTAGATTATTACAGTACTGTTTCGGGCTTATTTTGTCTTCAGTCAGTCAGTCATAACCCCGACAACTATCTGAGACCAGAAACACAAACATGCGCTCGCACAGGGCGCAGATGGTCCATAGACGAAGTCAAGCAGATGGGTCATAAGCACTTCAAAATGAAGTCCATAAGTGCCTCGCCACCTGTCATTCTCCGTCGCTGCAGATGAGATTTTTGTTCATTCAGGTACGGCACATCTGTCAGACCCCGTTTACGAATCATCTACACTCTGTGCAAGCGCATGTTTGTGTTCCTGCTCCTAGCTTGTTGTCACGGTTATGACTGGGTGAATGAAAGCAGCACAAGCTCGAACAGGACTATATCAATCTGGAAGTAGCATCGAATTATTGTGCAAAAGTTGGTGGCTATGCGCTCATTTTTCTGCTTCATTGTTAAATACTTAGGCGGTTCTCAAGTCTAGAAAACGAAGACGTGCGTTTTTATCGTTGTCGGCCTACAAGCTAAAGGTCGCTTGTTGGATTACATCTACTCACACATTTAAGCCCTATGTAAACCATTTGCTCTATTTTAACGGATGGAAAATTTACCGATGATTTCCTTTTGTTAAAAACTGTAAGCCACTAAGAAACGTGTGCATGACAGCAGCTACTGCGCAGACGGACACGATACCAAAAACACGTCCTTGCATCAGTGTTCTGGTTGAGAGCCCGGACCGATTGACATTTTTATCCGACGCTATTTTGATTCGAAATCTTTTTTGCAAACGGCTTGTAATTGTTCTCCGATCAACTGAAATGAAAGTCATTTTTACTGGGTACAAGGTACTATAATAATAAGATATTACCAACATGGTGTAAGCATGGCATTTAGAGAAACTTGAAATAAGTAATTTAGGTAAAAGCCACACAATGTACATCAAGCTTAGTAAAAATCACTTCATTACTCTTCATCTAAGGCCGCCTAGCATCATAAGCAGCCATGTCAAAAAGACCCCACTAGTGTTAAAGATGATGTTCAAAAATAGTAGTCCATTTTTTCCTCAGACGAGCGGAAAACGCTGTTGAGCAGTAGTCTCGGATAAACCAAAAACTGAAAAAGACGGAAGGTAGAATGTATTGGGCGAAAGGTGAATCAGATTAATTGAGGAACATCCGTTTCTCTCAACAAATATACCTACTGGTTTGAGAAAACTTAGTGATCTTTGACAAGATGCAGAAGTCACTTTGATCCTCACTCGAAAATGAGTGGCGAGTTTAAAACAAGTTCGTAATTTTTGTTTTTGCTTACTGAAAGCATACTTAGCAAGTCATTCAGCTTCCCCTAGACTGTAAAGCTACACGTTCATGACAGACGGCCGTCGGATGCAGTGGTGTCAACGGTAGTATTCATTGATTGATTAGAGACTATTTCAACTTGAAGTATTTGTTGGAATCACTTACTCGAACGTTGAGTTTAGTAACGTAAGTGCTCCTTCGTTTGTTGTTTTTAGCTGTGCGTTATCTGGTAAGCCTAGGGTGTAGGGACGTCCAGTTGTGGGTCCACGTAATGGTCGCTCACTTGCTTGCAAGTGTAGACTGCGCCTAGGATCCATCACCTGGCACCCAACTCTCGCCCGAGGTTGCCCGTGGCTAGGCCCTGCCTAGCGGCCACACCCTGGTAACCGCCTTGACCTGCGGACTAAACCAGGTGAGGGTATCCGTGTGTGCATCTCCACACACAGCAACTCCCACCACCACTGGCCGGAGGGATCATCCCCTCAGCATCTCCGAAATGTGTCTCCGTCTGCAACCCCGTAGGAGACCGCAGGCACTCCGTCAGCTACTGACCCAGTGGCTAGAAGACCGCACTCTTACTTCTCATTCGCACCTATTCCCCGCCCTTCTCCTCTGCCCCTCACCATTTCTACCCTCTACTCTCCCTCTCCCCACGGTCGAGTGTCCCACTGATCACCGCATCCCCACCTACAAGATGAAGCTTTGTCTTCAACCCCCTGGGAGCCACAAGGTAAGCGACCCCCAAGATAAGCCGGATATTGCTCTCTCGCCTTTGCTTTTTGCATGTTCTTGCTTGTTTACCTTTGACTGCTTGTTTGTGTTTGTCCCTGCTGTGAGCTAAATACCGTTCTGTTGAACTTCTCAACCCACCGGTATATTTCAGCAACCAGTTAGCATGGGAAGGACGGAAAATTCAGTTTCCCGTCTCTTTACCCTTTCCACATCTCCCCCTATCCACCACATTCAAAAATGCCGACGGAGAGTGCGACATACAATCCCGTTGGCGGTCCAGGCTATCTCGAATCGTCCTCACACTAGGGGAGTCCGGCAGTCGTCTGGGATGTCTGAATAGCCTATTTAAGGAGGGCACTGTACACCCCCGCCGTAGGGACGGGTCTACAAGAGGTGGCCTAAACAAATGGTGGGATCACGTCCTCTGCACTCTGGCCGTGGCGCAAAGATCTAAAATATACAATCAAAACAATCAAACAATAAACACTACTCTCTCTTCCCCCTCCTCCTCATCCCTGTCGTCCCACCCCACAGGCTACTAGCGTGAGCTCGCTCACTCTGGCAGTCTGGAATTTTCGTTCCCTTTTAGACAATTCGAGGAGCAACTGACCGGAACGGAGGACGGCGCTAGTGGCTCGGGGACCGACGCGCTACAGGGTAGACATCGTTACACTCAACGAGACCAGGTTCTCTGAACAGGGCCAACTGAAAGAGGTGGGTGCCGGTTACACCTTCTGAACCGACCGCCCCAAGGCACAGCGAGGGGGTGCGGGTACAGCTTCTATCATCCGGAACGACATCGTGGCACGACTGTCCCGTCTGCCGCAGGGTATCAACGATCGCCTGATGAGCCTCCTTCTGCCTCTCCCGATGGCCAGCCGTGACGCTGCACGGAACAAATCCTACGAGGAACTGCCTGCTCACCTGGCGACTGTGCCGAAGACGGATAAGTTTATTGTCCTTGGGGACTTCAACGCCCACGTCGGCACAGATCATGCTTCCTGGAGAGGAGTGCTGTGTCCCAATGGTCTCGATGGCTACAGTCGCCGCCACGGCCGCCGACGAAAACGCCTCTGTTGAGAACCGATTCTGCGAACACCAGCACTGGTTCAATGACAACGACGCCACTATCAGCAATCTGCTCGCCGAGAAGAACCGCCTGCACAAAGCCTATGTCAACCGCCCTACTGGTCACAACAAAACGACCTACTATCACAGTCGCCGCATTTTGCAACAGCGGCTGAGGGAGATGCAGGACGGCTCCGAAGGCCGAGGAGATCCAAGGATACGCGGACCGCAACGAATGGGATAATTTCTTTGCTACAATCAAGGCCGTCTATGGTCCCGCGGCCGAAGGCACCGCCCTGCTTCTCAGCGCCGACAGCAGTACCCTACTCACTGAGAAGACACAAATTCTACAGCGATGGGCCGGGCCCTTCAGAAGCGTTCTCAACCGTCCCTCCACCATCTCCGGCGTCGCCATTGCCCGTCTGCTTTAAGTGGAAACCAACACCGACCTCGACCTCCCGCCTTCCCCACACGAAACCCCAAAGGCCATGCAGCTGCTCTCCAACGGGAAAACGCCCGGACCGTACGCAAGTCCTGCTGAGAACTACAAACATGGCAACCTTCAAGGAGATGTGGCGCCAAGGACAAGTCCTGCAGGATTTCAAGGACGTCACAACTTTCCATCTATTCCAGCTCTGCAACAACCACCGACGCATCTCCTTGCTGAACATTGCGGGAAAGACCTTCGCTCGCATTCTTCTCAATCGTCTCAACAACCATATGGAACAGGGTGTCCTGTCGGAAAGCCAGTGCGACTTCCGTCGTCATCGTGGGACCACGGACATGATCTTTGTCCTCGTCAATTGCAGGATAAATGTCAGAAGATGCGGACCCACCCCTACTCTACTTTTGTGGACCTGACGAAAGCCCTCAACGCGGTGAATCGCGAAGGATTGTGCAAAGCCATTCAGAAATTCGACTGTCCCAAACAATTCACTCAGATGGTTCGTCAGCTGCATGACGGTATGATGGCGCGAATCGCGGACAATGGACCTGTCTCAGAGGCACTCGCAGTGATCAACAGAACGAAGAAGGACTGCGTCATCGCGCCTACTCTCTTCAGTCTCATGTCCTCTACCATGCTGATGTGCATCTACCGTGACGAACGTCCTGGAGTCCTCGTCGCCTACAGAACGGGCGGCCACCTCCTCAATCAACGGCGGACCCACTTCCGGTCGCGCGTTTCCTCAACTACCGCCCATCAACTTCTCCTCACCTACGATTGCGCTCTCTACGTCACCTCGGAAGGCGAGATGAAAAGGAGCATGGAAGTCTTTGTCGCCGATGCCGCCTGTGACAATTTCGGTCTGGTCATCAACACAAAGGAGACGGCGGTTATACATCAACCGCAATCCGATAATGCCTACGTCCCAAGTCAAATCAACGTGAACTGCACCCAACTGCAAGCCGTGGACAAATTCGCATATCTAGGCAGCACTCTCTCTCTCGCAACACCAAAATGGACTATGAAGTGTCCCGCCGGATCTCCAAAGCCAGGCAAACTTTTGCCTTTCTGTAAAACACCGTTTGGAATCGACACGATCTCCACCTCAGCACCAAACTGAAGATGTACAAAGCAGTTGTCCTGCCAACGCTACTATACGGAGCGGAGACCTGGACGGTGTACAAGAAGCAGGCACGATGTTCAACAATTTCTACCTCATCTGTCTCCGACGGATATAGAAGCTGAGGTGACAGGACCGGATCCCCATCGCAGACGTACTGGAACGGACGGGAATCCTCATCATCTACACCATGCTGAGACAACTGCAACTGCGCTGGAGCGGCCACCTCGTACGCATGGACGACCCGCGCCTACCCAAACGACTCCTCTATGGTGATTCCGCCAGGGGTTCCTGCTGACAGGAAGGTCAAGCACGGCGTTACAAGGATACTCTGAAGACCCCCATGAAGGGCCTGCAAGTTAATCCGACCAATTGGGGATTCCTCGCCCTGGACCGACAGACCTGGAGGAGAGCAGTGATGACCGGCGGGGCAATCTACAAAGCCGCCGCCAAAGCCAAACGCGAGGATCGTAAATGTCAACTGCGCTCACCCCTCAACGCCTATGCTCGGCCGCCCCTAATCTGCCCGCGATGTCGGCGGACGTTTCGGGCACCAGTTGGACTTATTAAACATCTCTGTACCAAATGCAGCACCCGAACGACACCACCCGATGACCCCCCTCCCACATCCGCCTTGCCTCCCACGTCGACACTCAACACTGAGCGCACTCCTGAACACCACTGTCATCCTCCTCCTCCATCGCCTCAACATCCGCTGCGGCGACTCCTGTGCCCACCACCACTGCATGTAATCCTGACGCATCGGCAAGCATTAACCTCCCCACCATCAACGCCAGCGATGGGGTATCAGTCCATACCTGTCCTCGTTGCGACCGCACCTTCACCCCACGCATCGGGCTGGTCGGTCATTTGCGAATCAATCGCACACAGACTGGCGAACCAGTACCTGGATCACCAACCTACACTGGTCGTACTCACCTCCACTGTCCACAAAGCTCCCACACATTCACTCACCCGCTGGGCCTCTTCGGTCACATGCGTATCCACGAGAGCAGAATTCACCGCAATCTCGCGAACCAGTGTCTAGGGCACCCGCATACACTCGTCGCATCCGCCTCAGCTGCCCTCACTGCACCCGCACATTCACTCACCGCATATATCTATTAGGCTACATGCGCATTCACGAAAACCTGCGGTAGACAACCGCCGGCTACACTACACCGTCCCACCTCCCAACCAACACCCGCATCACATATCATCATCATCCGTCGCAAGCACTCAACTGTCACCTCCCATGCACTTGGAAAGTGTGCGTCTCGACTCCGACTCCATGCGGCTCCTGTGATGCATGCGTGGTCCGCGTCTTTCTTGGATGGCCTGAGTTATCCTTGCGATGTTGTCGCAGCGAACGCGGACTGTCTCATTTGAGACGAAGTCGGTTAACTTCGCTTGAAGGATGATCCTCAAGCAGTGGTGGTCAAATACCTCCAGTTTTCGCTCATCCTCCACGCGCAAAGCCCAGCATTCACAACCGTAGAGAAGGACAGACCGGACAGATGCACGGTACACGCGAATCTTTGTGGCGATGGAGAGGTCACGTCGGTTCCACAGGCATTTCCGAAGGCTGGAAAAAACCCAGCGGTCAGCATTGACTCGGGAGACAATGTCGTCCTTACTCTATCCATTAGGCAGCAGCCTCGCCCCGAGGTAGTTAAAACTGTCTACTTCTTCAAGTTG